ACACCTGGTAGACCACACGCAGCAGGTTCCTCTGATTCCGTAACAACTGAGAGGAGTTGGTAATGCGAGTTGGGTCCACCTCAAAGTCAGCCTGATCGGCTTCTCTGCCTGACACAGAGGCCTGGGGGGACGAAACTGGGCTGGTGGATGTTCGCTTACCGAGAGAGCCACGCTTCTCCCTCGGGGACTGCATTGAGGTCACCACTGAGGCCGCCGGGGTCTTTGTCGAGGCTAAGATAGTCTCCACAACCTCATCTAGAGCTGCATGCAGGTAGGGTTCACCTGTCTGGCGCAAGTACAACTCAATGGCTTTCGTGGCAAGGCTGTTACTCCGAAGCACCATGTTTGGGTTGTCTGTCGGTTGTCGGTGGAAATGGCAGTAATGAAGGGAAAAACAGAAGTTGTTGAGGGAATAGTGAACATGCGACTTCAAACACACAAAAAATCATGAACCTAAAGATGGAGGTCCGCAGCCACCACACTAAAAGGTACGGATACATGCCATTTTAAGAGCAAAACTAGGTGCCGAGGCCTCTGTATGTAGGTAGTCACTTTTGATGTAGAATTCGTGACGCGGTTGGACTTTACCAAGGTGACGTACTACCTTATTATGCCAAAATGGTTCCAGAATACTTTGAAAGTCGCCCTAGCCTTATATCCCGCACTGAACATTAACTAAGTTTTCTACCTTTTACACTTTTGCATGTATTTTCACAAAATTCGAGGACTATCACAGAAGGCTTAGCGATGCAAATGCAAGTAGAGGTCAAAAGCTGTCATCTTCAATAACAGAGATGCAGTTATCAGAGAATACACACGGAGGGTATGGCAAGAATTTTGGACGCAGGCAGGAAAGCAAATGAAAAAAATGGATCCTTTTGCAATAACTTTAGCCTTAACCGCAAACCTAATCTTAACCATAATCTTACTCCTAGTTTTCCTGAAACTTGGCGCAAAGTAACCCTGTTCCTGTGTTCCATCGGTGCATACAAACTCTCCTTGCCAAATAGTTTTTCCACCCTTTATTAGTTTGTGATAGATCAGGCACTCCGCAATGGCTCGGCAGCTTTCTGGGGCGGGAGAAAACGGTACTTTTATAACGCACTTAAAACGTTCGCGTTCATGCACTTTAACACGAAAGAGGCAGCGGACGTCCATTAGTTGCTCAGCTTCCCCAGTTGTTATATTTAGTCTTCATAAAATTGTTCTGGTAAGTATAAATTACAGAAGTTGATAAGCACCTAACTTATCAAATAAAACTGCCTATCGTGCCAAAACATATGTAGCCTACAATCCCAAAAAGAATTTCGCCAGAATCGAAAAAACGCCCTTACATAGCGACAAATGTTCTCTGCAAGATGGCGTACCAGCAGTGCAGCCGACGTAGTTTAAACCCAGAGACGTGATTGAGACGTAAAAAAGGCTAAAGGAGTTCCACAGTGTCCGATGTATCACAGTTTCGAGGGGGAGGACACAATATATGGAATAAGAGCTTTTTAGCTTGACCTCTCGTATCCCACACGGATCCACCATCAAATACAGTCAGATAAGGTTACTGGATTGCATTAGCGTCACGGTATTTATAATATGTCGTTACTAGACCACTACACGCCTGTAAATATGAGAGGATTATATGAGTATGCAAAGCCACACTTCAGCAAACCATGGTCCCTGCGGCCTGGTGTGCGCTGGCCATTTTTCTGATTCCCTGTCCGTGTATTCATTTGCGCTACCACTGGGTTGACAGGCCGTGTACATGGTTGCCCGGTTAATTGTACCTTCCCTCTTCTTTGATCCAGAGGAGTGAATACCGACTGGTGGCGCATAGTGAATTTGCGGGCGGCGTGATTGCGGCGGTGGCTGTCACGCCCTCGTCTGCGTAGTCGCAAGGGCCACACGGCCAGTCGCTCCGTGCTTATCTTGCGAAACTGACGGTTCTGAGCGTGGTGGCACGCTTAGGGGCGGC